TGTGTCTTCCTTTTCATTTTTGTAGGGGTCTTTTGAAGGACAGGAGTATTAAATTGGGATGAAGTTCTATTTATTGATTTTTTTCCTTTTATACTTCACGCTTTTAAGTAACCTTTGCCAAATCTAATGTCCCTAAGATTTTTCTCTTATTTTCCTTTATAAGTTGTCTCTTCTTCATTTTTACATTTAGGTCTGTGATCCATCTTGAGTTAATTTATATATATGGTGTGAAGAAAGGATTGAGGTTCCTTTTTATATATATACATATATTTTTAAAGATTTATTTATTTATTTTGGGGGAAGGGCAGGGAAAGGGAGAATCTCAAGTAGACTCTGCTGAGTGGGGAGCCCGTCTCAGGGCTTGATCTCGTGACCCATGAGATCATGAGCAGAGCCAAAACCAAGAGTTAGACACCCAACCAACTAAGCCACCCAGGAGGTCCGAGGTTCCTTTTTAAATATTATCTTATTTTTTAATCATTATTATTTTTGCATATGGCTATCCAATTGTTTGAGCACCACTTGTCAAAAAGATTATCTTTCTTCCATTGAACTTCCCTGCACCTTTGTGGAAAATCAACTGACTCATATAGGTGTGGGCCTATTTCTGGACTCTTTAATCTGTTCTATTGATTGACATAGCTGCCTTTTCAGCAATACCACCCTGTTTTAATTACTGTAGCCTCATAATAGGTCTTGATCATGTAATGTAAGTTCTTGACACGTGTTTTGGGTTTTTTTTAGAATTGTTTTGGATGTTCTAGTTCTTTTACCTTTCTATACAAACATTAGAATCATCGTAACAGTTTTCACAAAAATCTTGCTGGACATTTGATCAGAACTGCATTGAAGCTGTAAATTCAGTCCACAGAAGAACTAGCGTCTTAACAACATTGAGGTTCAGATCCATGGACATGGTGTATCGCTCCGTTAGCTAAGTCGTTACTTTTTCTCGGCACTGTTCTATAGTTTTCAGTGTACATGTCCTTCACATCTTTTGTCAAGGTTATCCTTAAGTACTTCCTTTTTTTTTTTTTGAAAGATTTTATTTTCAAGTAAACTCTACACCCAAGGTGGGGCTCAAACTCACAACCCAGAGATCAAGAGTTGCTCCCTCCACTGACTGAACCAGCCAGGCACACCTATTTTTGCCGTTATTCTATCCAGTATTGTTTTTAAATTTTAATTCCTTTTTCTTAGGGGGGGAGGGGCAGAGGGAGAGGAAGAAAGACAATCTTATGCAGGCTCCACACCCAGGCCAGAGCCCAAGTGGGGCTTGATCTCACAACCCTGAGATCATGACCTAAGCTGAAATCAAGAGTCAGACTCAACAGACTGAGCCACCCAGGCACCGGGCCCCTGATTCTTAGGGGCAGAAAGCAGATCAGTACTTGCTTAGACACAAGGTTTCGGGAGGAGGTAAGGATGAATTACAAAGGGACCTGAGGAAAACTTTGGGGGTGATAACTATGTTCACTATCTTGATAGTAGTGATAGTTTCATGTGTCAAAACTCATCAAATTGTATACGTTAAATATATTCAGTTTAATGTATATTAATTATATCTTATTAAAACATGTGTACTTGGGCTCCAGGAACCTGTAAAAATAACGTGACCAGCTAATATATCCTCATGCCAGATACTGAATCGGATGCAACCTAGGTGTGGGGAGGGACCAATTTCACCCGTTATGGAGAGACAGGTAGTAAGACGCTTATCGCCCTATGGGTTTCCCAGAGATTAGGCTTCCATGTCCAGAAACCAGGCATCTCCAAAAGGTGTAATATAGAGGTCCCCCCTTATCATAGATTCCAAGATCCCCAGTGGATGCCAGAAACCACCGGTAGCTCTGAACCCTATAAATACTATGTTTTCCCTCTACATACATACCTATGACAAAGTTTAGTTGATAAATGAGGCACAGTAAGAGATTAACAAAAGTAAAACTACCACTAGAATTTTTTTTTCCTTCTTCAGTTTCATGGATACAAGACACGTTCTTACCACTGACCTTAGCAATTTCAGCATACATTTTTTTTTTCTTTCCTTCTTAAGTAGAGAGCTTTCATCTTTACAGCTACTCTTTGGCATATCCGAATTGCCAGCATCATCATTCTTGTGCTCTGGGGCTATTATTAAGTAAAATAAGGGTTATTTGAACATAGGCACTGTGATACAGTGACGAACAGGCTGGTAGGGTATACGGTGTGGGTCCGCTGGACAAAGTGATGATTCACATCCTGGGCAAGACCGAGCAGCGGGACATGCGAGATTCCATCACACTACTCAGAACGGTGCGTAGTTTAAATTGTATGGGTTGTTTATTTCTGGAATTTTCCATGTAACATTTCAGATTGTGGGAACTGAAACCACAAAAAGTGAAACTGCGGATAAGGGGGAGACATTGGTTCCTATATTGCTGGGAGAGACGGTAAGAGCTGAAGGAAGTTAGCAGAGTCCTATAGTTTATATCCTGGGGGCGGGCTTCCCTCAACCCTTGGCAAAGGGTTTTCCGGCTGCAGCAAGTGGGAAATCCTTATTTTTAACTCACTCTAAGTTTTACGGAGGAAGGTTAACTCGCCTGAGTGTTTCTCCACAGGGTGCCTCCAAACCACAAATTCCTGATTCCTCCTCTGGTTTATCCCAGTAAGAAGTAGGCTGATCCCTTAATCCCTGTTTAAAGGGCCCTTGTTTATGGAAGCCGTAAACTCTGGGCAAAGGGTCATAAATCAGTCTAGCAGGATCCAGAGTGTGAGGCGGGTGCAGGCACACAGAGGTAATATCAATGTTGATCTCGTCTGTTTTCCTTGTAGGCATACTCCTGTGAGCCCGTGTGCTGGGCCAGATCCAGCTCTACTCTTCTCCACTCTGCTTGGTGCCTAGAAGGAGGGATGGAGACCGTACAGTATGATGCATCATCCTGGCCCCCCTCCCCCCACTCTTCCCACTAGGCTTGGCCAATGGAAGGCGCAAGTAGGAGATCAGAGGACAGGAGAGCTAGAGACTGGTGTCTCCCAGTGACTGGTTTCCTACCTAGAGCCACAGGTCTGGTCAGATGCCTCCTTTCCCAAGACTAGAGCACCCAACTGTTTGGGCCACAACTCCTTCCCCTTGTCCCTTCAGGTCTAGGGCTGATAACAGCTTCCCACTGGGTTCTTCACCCTCCCTGGCTGATCCTCCGCTTCTAGATCACACCGTAGTATGCCTATTCCTTCTTCAATTCAATTAGCCCTTCCAGTTAGCAATCCCCTCCCTGTGGCCACTCTGACCCACACACCTTCATAGCCCCCAAACATGGTCCTCTTCTACTGTCTCTATCTCCCCAAAGCCCCCAGTTTGCTGATACACCCACGTTGGTCTTGGCTCTCCCTCTGTTTCTCTGATTCTTCCACCCCAGGCTCCTGTTTCCATCACTTGTCCTTTGGCCAAGTCAATGCTGAAGACATTGCTCTGTCCAAAATGGAAGTCATCTCCTCTTCTGGGAGACATCTCCTCTACTGTGCTTCCCTACTCATTTACTGTCATCACCACCTTCCCAGACACAAAGCCTTGAAAACTAGGTGACAGCTCACCTCTTCCCCAGAGAAACCCAAGGGGAGTCACTCACAAAGCCTCCCATATAAACAGATTTTAAGAAAAGGTGAAACCAGCGATTTAGCTATGCAAATGTAGCCTCAAGGCAATCACCCCTCCATCATATTGTCCCCCTTAAATCCTTCCTCTATAGAGTTTCTGACCCCACCAGTGCCTCCTCCCTCCCCCCATTCCCAACATCCAATCATATTCCCATAACCTCCCAGAGGACAAGAATGTTCTCTTCATTCCTTTGTAGGCCCTCAGTGTCTCTCACCTACCGCGGGAGTCTCCCGATTGGTTTCCTCCCTTCCTCTTCGCCCCCATAATCCGCCAGCCCCCAAAAGCGCAGGTCTGAGCAAAAGCCTTCAGTGGTTCGCTAGTGCCTGCAAAGGCCCACCCCCTCATTCGCTTCTCCATTGAATGTGTGAATTTTTATCAAAAGCTCTTAGTTAAAAAAAAAAAAAACTCTTAGTTAAAAAAAAAAATTAATGCCTTCCTTGACTTCGAGTTTCAAAGCATTTATCTTCAAAACCCCAACACTGGCATTTAACGGGGAACTTCTAACTTTCTCCAGCGTCTCCGCTAAGGATCGCACTTCCCTTTGCCTGTCGGTACCTCGGCTGACATCGGAGCGGGATGGGAGGGGTGGCCCAGAACCGCGGATAAACGGAAACAGAAACGGGTTTCTACCAACGAATACGTCCTGGCGGGTTCCAGACCCGGAGTATTTGGAGAGAAGGTGTCGGAAGACTCCCACTGACCCAGCCCGGCGCCCCCGGGTCGGCGATCATCGCAAATGCGATGGGCAGGGCTGCAGGGCAGTGTCAGGACGCGAGAGGAAGCAGAGAGAACTGGGTGCGGGACGCTGACCCCGGCATGGGGGCAGCGCTTCCCGGGGCTGCGGTCGCCGAGCCGGTCCATCCCGCGCTCCCCCGTCCCGGCCCGAGCCGCGTACACAGGCAATTCCCAGGCTGCCCGGATTCCCCGCGGGAGGCCAGGCGCTCCGGTCCGCGTGACCCCCGCCCACCAGCCGGGACCCAGCAGCGCCGGGCGCGGAGAAGCGCGCGGCTCGCGGGGAAGGGGCGGGGAGGGCGGTGCGCCGGGCGTCGGGGGAGGGGCGGGCGAGGGCAGGTCAGGGCAGCCCCGGCCCCGCCCTTCGTCCCGCCCCCGCCGGAGGCGGTTGGACCCGGTGACTGACAGGCGTCCGGGCCGGTCACGGCGCGCCTCGCGGTCCGGATCGCCCGGGGGGCGGGGCTCGCTGAGGGGCTCCGGAGGGGGCGGGGGCGGGCGGGGAAGCCTCTGGGTGGGGCGGGGCCTCCGGAGAGTAGCAGCGCCCCCAGCCAATGGGAGGCGGAAGCCGTCCCGTTAGCGCCGGATCCCAGCGGGTAGGGCGGGGCGGGCGGCGCCGAGGGGATCCCGGGGCGGCCGAGGGAGGGCCCCTGACTCGGCTCCGCGCGGCGACATGGACCGGATGGCCAGCTCCATGAAGCAGGTGCCCAACCCCCTGCCCAAGGTGCTGAGCCGGCGCGGGGTGGGCGCGGGGATCGAGGCGGCCGAGCGGGAGAGCTTCGAGCGGACTCAGGTGAGGACCGGGGGACCCCGGGGTATGCTTGGCTGGGGCATCCCGAGAGAAGCAGTGTCCGGGAGGGGCTTTGAAGGGAGTAGAGGTCTTCAGGCCCAGGGGAGGACGGGGCAAGGGGGCCGCGAGAGGGAGCATGTGGTGCGCAGGGCAAGGCGAGCCAGAGGAGGTCGGGGACCCGGGGGCATCCCAGCTGGCCTGGGGAGAAGGGCAGGGCGGCTCCTAGAAGCTGGCACGATCCGTGCGGCGGGGCAGGGCAGGGGTCACAGGGGCTGTGAGAGCGGAAGGAACGGAAGAGGGGCCGAATGGAAGGGGTGCCCCTAGACAGGGGAAGCACACTGGGGGGCCACTCGGAGACGCAAGTGTGGCGGCGGAGAGCGGAGCGCTGGACTGGGATGTGAAGCGGGAACCCCTTTTCTCCCCTCTCGATCGCTTCTGGGTTGCATTGACATTCCCCCCACCCCTAGCACCCCCTTCCTGGTGCCTCTTGCTTGGCTCGCACCACCCCCAGCTGTTGGCCTCCGAGGACCGGGCTGAAGGGGTCTGGGCGGCGAAAAGGAATGTAGGAAATGCGACGTGTGGCCGAGCTTGGAAAATGGGGGCTGGAGGAGGGGGCCGGCCAGGGGCCAGGGTCAGGCCTTTGGCCCGACAGCCGGCTGCTGGTCAGGATGAGCTCCCCAGTGGTGCCCAGAGCCCTGATTTGGGGTTTTGGTTTCATCCCCCAAGATGTGCCTGACAGCTAATAGGCAGACTGCCCTATTTGTCCAGCCTGACCAGGGCTGGGGGCCAAAATTCCCCAGTGGCATCAACAAAAAGCCACAATCCATTTTTACCTCAGTTTGAATGCCTGATGTATTGATTTAACTGAATAAAGCTGACATGTTTCTGGTGTTCATCAGCTCGTTTGTATGCAAAATCCATTTCAAAGGGCACAGCACTTCTCTTAATCCCAGTGCAAAAGTTGTATGGGCAGATTTGTTCTTCGCTCTTGCGCTCAGGGTGGAACCTTTGAAGATCCAGCTGGGCCTCCACTGCCAGAGGCTGGTTCCCCTGCTGTGTTCTGCTTCCCCCCCCCCCACTCCTCCTCACCATACGCAGTACAATGTGAAGGAAGGGTTTTGGGATTTTAGGTAGAAAAGATTGTGAGGACCTGACAGAGTATTGTGTGTATGGAATCTTGCAAAGAGTAAAGCTTTTCACCTGGGCAAGTCCATCCTCTTTCCAGATGCCTCTGGCCTGTTGCAGGTGTGTCTCGGTGATGGAAAGTAGGAAGTGGCCCCTCCCCGGGTCATCCTACCCCAGGGAAGGATGGGACCGATAAGAAAGACAGCAATTCATTCGGCTTCCCAGGGACCAGCTGAGTTTGAGACTTTTTTCTCTGGCTTTGTGGACTGGACCCCTGCAAAGAAAGCAGCTTTCCGTCTGCTTGTCCACCGTGGGTGTTAACTGAGGCTTCTTGCTCCAGGAGGCAGTGTGAATAGCCTTCTTCTTCCTCTTTTTTTTTTTTTTTAATGGAAAAGAAAAAGGAATAGACGTTATTTTGCGATAACCCAGCCTTTCTGGAGTCTCAAATAAGGAAAAACTGGAGCACTAGAGGAATACGCATAAAACTTTGACCCATTATAGCAATGGCGATTAGGTTTGTGAAAGCTTCCACCCAGGGCTGGCGTGTCCCCTCGCTATCCAGGGACAGCCCAACGAGGAGACCCTAAAGCACTGTTTGCCAGTGTATTTTACATGTGGAACACTTGCGATTGGCTTGTTGGAGGGTGGGGTGGGAGTGAGGAGGAGGCAGGCTGGAGAAGGGAAAGAGGGTTTTTCTATTATTCAAACCGTAAGGGGCGGCGGGTGGGAGCGTGAAGAAAAGAGAAACAATCGTAAAACTTGGCATTGGTCAATCTGCAAAAGCTCATTTTATTTGAGGACTTCAAATGTATCCAGTGTGTTATGAGATACAAAAATGAGTTAGAAAAAAATTTTAATGAGTTGAGAGACCATGAGAATCAGCCAAGGTGTAGTGATAATTGTAGCTAATTATCACTGTTTGGCACTGTTCTAAGTACTTTATTGTATTACCTTCTTTAATCCCTGCAAGGACCTAGGAGGTGGGTATCAGCCCCATTTTCTATGAGGACACTGAAGCACAGAGAGGTTAAGTCACCTGCCCAAGGTCACACAGCGGAAGTCCCAACCTTTAACCACTGCCTTGCGTTGCCTGTGAGTACCGCGCAGAGCACTGGCATTGGAGCTGGAAAAGGTTTGAGTTTTATAGCCAGGCACATGGATAGGCTGTGTGACCTCGGGCAAACCTTTCTAAGGCTTCCTTATTGTAAAATAAAGATGATACTTACCCTGAAGGTTTAGTATGGGGATTAAATGAAATCATAGGTGTGAAGGCATTTTTGTAAACTTTGGAGCACGGTTTCAGTGACTCTTGCTATAATCCAGGGAGACCTAAGGAAGCACAAATGTGAGTAATGGTGCAGGCTGTGGTGAACTCTTCAGTAGGGGGACAGAAATGTTCCTAGGTAATGTGAGAATGACTGAGACCACATGCAGAAAGTCCTAGCCATGGGTGTAGGGAGAGGTTGGGAGCCGTCACCAGGACCTAACCACCAATTGGCATGAGATGTCACTTGCAGGGTGGAGAGGAGGGGAGGGGGCATTCCAGAAATGGGGACCAGTAAAGGAGACATCTAGAGGTGAATGCAGATGAGGCTCAGTGGCCCAGGTGGAGGCAGGAGCAGAAATTGGCCGCTCCCACCTCTCAGCCCCCAGCACCTGCTACCTTGTACAGTCACTGGTTCTCTGTGTTGCCTTCAATAAACTAGGAGCTTCATGGGGGCAAGATTGCTCTTGCTGTCTCACCTGTGTCCTCAGATTCCTGAGGCTTGTGTTAGTGGGGATCCAGCTGTAGATGGGGGTAGACAGTGACTGGTTATTTCCAGTCGGAAGCCCTCGCCTGGGAGGGTAACTCAGCTCAGGGCAGCTGGGGATTTTTGTAGTTACTTGATTCTTTTTCCAAATGGCCCCAAGTTCCCTCCTGGTTCAACGTTGTCTCCTGCACTCTGTCAGGAGCCCTGCCCCATGCCCATCAGAGGACTGATTTCTCTGCCTTCCTTCCGGTCAGGCCAGTGTCCCTGCCAGAGGGGGGACCCCAGACCCACCTGCTGCAGCCCCCATCTCCAACCTGACCGTTGCTGTGTCCCTCACCCAGCGCATCGCAAGCAACCTTCAGGCTCCAGGGGAATGAAAAGTGGTTCTTGCCCTCAAAAAGCTGCTGGGAGAAAGTTACCTTGCCTGGAGCACTTTCTAGTTTATACAGCACGTTTTAACTATCATTGGTGCTACACTGTGGTTGGGTATTACTACGCCCATTTTATGGATGAGAGCTTAGTAACCTGCCTGGGGCCCCCACAGATGATCGAAAAGCAGGATTCAGATCCAGGACTCCAGGTTCCGGGCCCCTTCCCCCCCACCATGTCCTCATGTTGGCTGGGAGGGTAATTCTGGAATGAACCAGGAGGGCTGACCCTTGTTGACACACCAAATCACCTGTCTGTATTTACTTAGCCGGAAAATGGTTTTCGGTATGGTTTGTTTATTTTTTTGTTACCATCCATTTAGTGAGCACGTAGCGTGGAGGGGACACAGAGATGAGTAAGATAGAGACCAGCCTGGAGGAGCTCATGAGTCAGCAGGGAGGTGGACCGGCCACCGAGAGGATCTTCTACACAGAGGACAGACGACTTACAGCGTTGACATCTCGGGAGCTGTTAGCGGTGCAGGACCTACCGAATGAGAGCTTTCATTTCAGCGGGAGCCCTGCGTCGTCCTGTGCATGTTGAAATTTGCTCTCTGGCCAGTGATCGCTAAGATCAGAGGAGAGGATGAGACTCTGGAAACAACAGAGCCTTTAGTCCCAATCTCTTTGGGTGGAGCCCGCCACAGAGAACAGGATCCTAACCAGCCCTGAGTTGTGAAGAGCCAGGAAAGTTGGATTCTAGAGAAGAAGAGACAGAAAGAAATATTTACGGAGGGCCGGGTGGGCACTAGAAACATGCTGGGTGATTTCTGGCCATTATCCTATTTAATAGCTCAGGTTCAGAGAGACCAAGTGACCTGCCCAAGGTCACACAGCGAGTAAACAGAGAAGCCAGGGCTCCGACAATCTGATGACCAAGCCCACATCCTCTTCTCCGTGTGTAAGTCAGGGGGTGTCTCTGCCATTTCTCTCGTCATCTTCAGCTCAGCCTTTGATTCACCTGCTGAAAAAATTGTGGGGTTGGGCCAGAGGGATCAGTGCTTCTCAACCCTGGCTGCTCAGGAATGGCTTCTAACACGGAAGGCGCTGTCTTCCCACCTGATCCCTGCTGGCTCACTTCGTTGGTATTGAAAAGGTAGAAAGGATGCTAAGAGCTTTCTTTGAGCTTGTGGGTTTGTATGCCTCTGGCTTCCTCCCATTGATAATGGTGAGAACAGCTGACATTCACCACGTTTACTATGTGCACGTGGTAAAGGCCTTAAATGAGCCATACCTCTCAGTTCTTGGAATGAATTTAAGAATTACGATCCGGAGGAAATCAAGGCTCAGACGTGTTACTAGCCAGCTCAAGGTTCTGAAGGAAGGGTCCGAGCCGGGACCCAAACTCAGGAACACTGGCCCCAGGGCCTGGCTGTGCATGATTGCCATCCCTGAGTCACTGCCTGGCCCCGTCAGCTCTCTTCCTCCTTCCTCTCACTAACAGTTGGGTCCCCAAGGTGCTAACCTCACCCCACTTCTCTTTTACCTTCTGTCCACTTCCTCTGTGCTCCCCTCATCTGACAGTTTCTGTTCTTGTGTTGGTGACGTCACCTCCCCACGTCTTTCTCCCGACTTCCTGGCCTGTGTGACCGCTTCCTATGGGTCATTTGCCCCCAAATAAACCACACATGCCCCAGACTCTACTTCGGGCCTTCCCTGCCTCTGAATGCCAGCGTCTGGTCCCCGTCAGTCCCCATTA